TCCCTAACATTGCCATCACCCCCCCAAAAAAGAAGCCCTGTACCTATTAGTACTCAATTGCAATTCCCCCTCCCCTATCTCCTGGCAACTGCTAATCCACTTTCTGTCTCTTTGGATTTGTCTGTTCTGGATATTTCATATAATGGAGTCATATAATATGTAGCTTTTTAAAAAATATGTGGGTTTTTTTGACTTAGCATGTTTTCAAGGTTCATTCACATGGTAACATGTATCAGTGCTCCATTTCTTGTTATGGCTGAATAATATTCCATTGTATGGATATGCCGTAGTTTGCCTATCTGTTCATCAGTTGGGCATTTGGTTGTTTCTACTTTTTGGCTATTACGAATAATGCTGCTGTGAAGCTTCAAGTACAAGTTTTTGTGTGAACATATATTTTTATTTTTCTTGGGTATATACCTAGGCATGGAATTGGCTGGATCATGTGTTTGACCATTTGAGGAACTGCCAACCTGTTTCCCAAAGTGGCTGCACCACTTTACAATCCTACCAGCAATGTATGAGGGTTTCAATTTCTCTACACCCTTACCAACAGTTGTTATTGTCTGACTTTTTGATTATAGCCATCTTAGTGGTGTGAAGTAGTATCTCATTGTGGTCTTGATTTGCTTTGCGTTTCCCTAATGAGTAATGATGTTGAGCATCTTCTCATGTGCTTTTGGCCATTTGTATATCATCTTTGGAGAAATGTTCATTCAAATCCTTTGACCATTTCAAAATCACATTGTCTTTTTTATTGATGAGGTGTATAATAATTCTTTATGTACACTCTGGATACCACATCCTTATAAAATATGTGAATTGCAAATATTTTCTCCCATGCTGAGTGATATTTTTTCACTTTCTTACTAGTGTCCCTTGACTCTCAAAATTTTTAATTTTGATAAAGACCCATTTATCTATTTTTTCTTTCAGTTGCTTGTGCTTTTGGTATCATATCTAAGAAACTGTTGCCTTATATAGGAGTCATGCAGATTTATACCTATGTTTCCTTCTAAGAGTTTTATAGTTTTAGCTTTTATATTTATAGGTCTTTGATCCATTTCGAGTTAATGCTTTTGTGTGTGGATATGTAGTTGTTCCATGTCATTTGCTGAAAAGATTATTTTCCCCCATTAAATGGTCTTGAAATCCTGTTGAAATCCATTGATCGTACATATATGGACTTATTTCTGGATTCTCCATTTTTTTCGTTTTTCCTCTTACCAAGTTGTGATTTAATGGATTCTCAATTCTGTTCCATTGGTCTATGGGTTTATGCCATTACCACACTATCCTTATGCCAGAACCACATTGTTTTGATTGCTTTAGCTTTGTAGTTAGTTTTGACGTCAGGTTGAATCCTACAACTTTGTTGTATTCAAGATTGTTTGTGCTCTTTGGGGTCCTTTGCTTTTCCATGTGAATTCTAGAATCAGCTCGTCATTTCTGAAAAAAGGGCAGTTGGAATTTTGATGGGGATTGCATTGAATCTACAGATATTTGGGGAGTATTTCTATTTTAACAATATCGTCTTCTAATCCTTGGAAAGAGAGGATGCTTTTCCATTTATTTAGATCTTCTTTAATTTCAACAGTATTTTACAGTTTTCAGTGTACAACTCTTGCGCTTCTGTGGTTATATTTATTCCTAAGTATGTTATTCTTTTAGATGCTATTGTAAATGAAATTGTTTTCTTAATTTAATCTTCAGATTGTTCACTGCTTCTTTTAGACTTTAAGCATGGATTTTAAAAATTATATCTCACTCCTATGTATCTATATAAGGAAAATAAAAGTGAATTCAGTTGCTCAAAGTATTCCTAGAACTTCATATATGTAGAGACTGTCTCTTCTGACAGTGAGCATGTTTCTCCTCTGTGCGAACAGTGAACCATTTTGTCAAATAATACTCCACTGTTATAGCAATTTTCTTTCAAGCTACCAACAAGCATCCTACACAATTTTATGCAGCCACTTTCAATTTGCCTAACTTACAGTTTCATTTTCTTCCTCAATTAAATCAAGTGCTTCTGGAAATTTAAACAGCTTCTCTTCAAAGGCCACAGAAGTTCTATGACAAATTGACTAATAACAGAAATCCTGCATGCTGCATGATTCAGTCACCAGTTGCTTGTTGTTTAAAAATTTCTTTCATCTATTCTGCAGAATTTTTCCTACCTCAGTTACATGCTTGGCATGTAATAAGTACTCCTTTTGAATATGTCACAAAGTTTCATCTACTTGCAGGGTATTTTCCTTTCTTAGAGATTTCTTTTTCTTATAAGCACTCAATGTTATTTTATAAGAAGACAGGAATTGCAGTAATTCCTCTAATGACATATTTGCTTGAGTAACATGAAATTTATGTCTTGCTGTCTGTTTTCCTGCTTTTCTGCAAACTAACAGCTTTTCATTTTAAGGCCAAATTATGTTTTTAAAGGCATTTTAGGCAGCATATAGACTCAGCACACAAGTAACTTGGTTAAAGTAATACCATCTTGAATACTTGTGACCAAGTTCACACAAATACATGCAAAACAACTCTCTCCTAGCCAGATACAACTGTAATACCCATTGGTTCCAATTGTTTGAAATTTTATTGCATAAAGTGATAACCACCCCTTTTCTTAAACAAGAGGTGACACATGGTCCTTACATAACAGCTTCATATAAAATGTTTCCTGTATTTATAGGTTTATGATAGGGGCTAAGGAATCTCTTTAAGCATTCCTTAAAATTAGGATATATATTCACTGCCTCTCTCTGTTCCCATTGACTTCTTTCTTCCCACCCCAAATTTCTCTTCCTTAGAGTTGGTGATCTCACCATTCACTTATCAGTTCTAAAAACCTACTGAGTCATTCATGGCTCCTCCCACCTAACATTTTGCTATCACCAACTCCTACCAGTTTGACTTTCTAAAGATTTCTACTCTGTTCTTTATCTGTATCCCTTCTACTACTAACTTGGTTCAGGCAACTGCCATAGCCAGTGACTTATTTCCCCACATCCATTTTATTATTATTTATTATTTACGTACTTCAAAATCATGTTTCACAGAGCCCCAAAGTATTTAAAATACAAACTAAACATGTAATTCCCTATGTAAAAGGCTTCAGGGATTCCCTTCTATACAAAAGTGTGACCAAGAATGCAGTCTCTGAATTCAGAGGGCTTTGATTTCAATTATTTTTTCTTACTCTGTTTATGGCCCTCTTGGGCACATACTTATCCCCATCTACAAAATGGGGATGCTTATAGATTTTACTTATAGATAATTAGCAGTAAATCTTTTTAAAATAATGAAGTAGAAATTTGGAGAAACTATTCAAAGCAGTTGAATCCCTGGAAATTTAGCAAGAACTCCAGAGAGCTGATTTTGGCCTAAAAGAAGTCTTTTAAGCTTAAACATTAAAAGGGTGTTTAGAGCATATATACCTTTTGATCCTAACAGAATATGATAAACATTTTAAATCTGAATGTAACAACTACTCTTCCCTGTCTTTTCTGAACACTGTTATATTTTCCTATATGTTATTGGTCAGCAAACTATGAAGTTAGATGGCATAGCCAGTCATGCTCTGGTGTCTTTTCCCATTTGAAAGGAGAGAATAGGCTCAGAGAAGATGCCTTACCGAAGGTCACACAGCTAAAAAGGACATAAGAGCTTTCTTGAGTCCCAGTGCAGTTCCACTGAGTCACTGTTCATTAATTATAAAGTTATTTAATGAGCATCTACTATGTGTGAGGCACTGAGAATATAATAATGGACACAACAAAGTCCATGTCCTTTCTCTAAGAGTTTATAGTCTAATAAAGGAGGGAGTATCCCCACAGTCACCATACAGTATGACAAGGTGGGGTAAGTACAAAGAACTGTGGGAACACTTCAGAAGGTCTGTTTGAAACAATATATAATATTCAGAAACATTTGGTAAGTGGCTCAGCTTATACTTCTGTAACTGTGAATAAAACCCAAGTTTTCCACCTTCTTTGGAAACCTGCTAATTTTCAAAGCCCTTAGCCTTGCACAGCCCAAGCAAACCACTTACAGTTGGTATTTGCACACTGTGGGTATAAACTTAGTTCTGGGAAGAACTTGGCTGTGGAAACTTCGGCTTCTACCATTCCTCCTTGATGAGTCTACTGAAGTTCAGCACTTAGTAAAGTTCCTGATGCATAGTAGATACTAAATAAATGTTCATTAAGTGAAGATTTCTTAAGTGAACACATCGAATCTTCCTATTTAGTTGGGACAGCCTAATCTGACCAGGCTCAATCTTCTTCTAATGTATTACCATACCAAAGTATGGATTTCCTGGTATTTCTGTGGTCTGGGCACTGTTACTGTTATTTAGATTTTTATTATCCTTTACTAACTTAATGTGAATATGTTCTCCAAAAAAAATAAATATTTTTTATTGGTATAACTTTATGGGGTACAAGTATAATTTTGTTACATGCATAGATTGCATAGTGGTGAAGTCAGGGCTTTTAGGGCATCCATCACCAAGTAATATACATTTATACCCATAATTTATCATCTTCCCCCACTTCTAAGTCTCCACTGTCTATCATTCCACATTCTACATTCATGTGTTATTTAGCTCCCAATTATAAGTGAGAACATGTGGCATTTGTCCTTCTCTGACTTATTTCACTTAAGATAATGGTTTCCAGGGCTATCCACATTGCTGCTAATTTCATTCTTTTTTATGGCTGAATAGTATTCCATAAACATTTCATTTTTGCTCTAAAACATGTAATCTCAAACTTCCATATATTAGAATTTTTCTAAGAAGCACAAATAATCTTGTGTAATGTTTCTATGGGTGATACTGAAACTGCTGAAAGATCAAACATGTTGAGATATTTGACTTCACAGCTAGATATATGTGCAATACCTTTTAAGTATGGAAATTTCTAATGGTTTTAGGATCTTATTGGTATCCTTTGTGAAGGGCCATTAATTCTTTGTTATTTTATCCTAATTTTCAGGTAAAGAAGATACTCCCTCATTACTTGGTCTCTGTGGGTCTCTAACATCAGTGGCAAGTTACAAGTCTCTAACAAGCCTAAAGTCTAACGACTATCTTGCAAGTCCCATAACAGATATGACAAGTCCAGGCCTAACTCCATCCTGAAAAATTTACATAAAAGCCAAATGTTTTTATGTTGTAAATGTTCTGTTTACATAAGTTTGACTGCTGGGAAGACCTTTGAAATTTTACATTGTTCTGCTACGTGTCCACAATTCTATTGCTTAGAGTTCAATCCGCTCCATGGTAAACTTCTGGGTGAAAAACATAATGATCCTGCCATTTTTCATTTTAAAAATTCTTATATTTGTCATTGAGGAAGTTTAAAAATGAATAAGCTTAAAAAAACTTTCAAAGATCCTCCAAATTAATAATTCATTGCAAACTGTACATATTTATTATTCAGCTGATTTTTATATGTTTAAATGTATCTTAGTGGCCAGAGACTGAGTTTAAGGTTTTGTTCCAGAGACTTAAGCTAAATATTTTTTCACTCTTTTATTCAGTGGTTAGATTTTCAAAAAAAGAGATGAATTATTAATTTCACTTTTTCATTAATTTCTCCTAAGTTCTAATGTTTAAATTCCTTGTTTTTAATATCCGGAGAAGGTTCTTAGCTATATTTTCACAATGGTTTATTCAGTTTTTCTTTAACATTTATCATTTGGTATCAACATTCCACTTAATATTTTATAAAGTTTGTAGGAATGTGCCTGTTTAGGCAGTTACTGACTTAATTCGTTAGGCCATAGTATTTTATAGTACAGGCAGTTCCCGGGTTTACAGATGAGATAACGTTCCTGAGAACGTCTTTAGGTAGGATTTGCATGTAACTTGGATCCCTGATTAACAGCACGTATATGGTAGTAATAATAACAATACTATAATGGCTCATATGTGGTAATAATAATAATACGGTGTCATACTGTAATACTAACAATATCCCTGTAGTGTAATAAGAGGTTACAGAAACTATTGTGCTCTTTTTAATTCAAACAAAACAGAACATAAAAACAAACTCATACAACAAGTTTAAATAGGTGATAGGAGAAATTTCAAAAAAAGAATATTAAAGGTTAACAATCACCTAATATTGCATCAATGCTTGCTTAGTGGAAGGAACATTTTTGAAGCAAGAAGGCAGCTGACATTAATCAGAAGATGATGGAGATGGTGCTGGAGAGGATGGAGTGGGTGCTGGAGAATCAGGATTTGATTCTGTTGCTGGAGGCGGGGAGCTTACCACTGAAGTCGGTTTCTTGAAAAAGGTATCTAGGGTTGTTTGCACTGCTTTTTTCTTTTTTTTTTCATCATAAATGGCCTTGTAGCAGCTGATGTTCTAAGTGCACGGTAAACCTTTGTAAACTGCTCAGTGTCAGTATCTTGCTCCTCAAGATTAGCAAATCCTGCTTCAATGAGACAAAAGGCATCAGCTAATTCTTTTGTCATAAACTTCCTTGGCTCTGGATCTTCTGATTCTTCATGTTCTTACGTTTCTATCAGCTACTTCTCTATGAGACTAGCCACTAGCATAGCATACAGGTGCTGTACCAACAAACTGTTTATGCCATGCGGGTTTGACATGCGTGGAAGAAACTAGTTCCTGAATTATTAAATTATCTTTAAGGGGAGCCTTGGGAGCCCATTCATTAAATACGGAATGCTGAAAGGTGGGTCATCCATAACCCGGGGACTACCTGTATTTTAGGCCATTTAAGTAAAATGAATAAACTTCTTGTTTTCCCAAGATTTTTTTGAAAGGTGATCAATTTAAAAATATGATCAAGTATGCCCCAAAAGTTAGAAACATTTCAAAATGTAGAACAAATGTTGAAAAACTGTTTTATCAAGAAAGAATTCAAGTTCAGTTAAGGATTTGAGAAGCTTTTAAACAAAGATCAGTAGGGTAATCACCATACTTAACAATAAGTATGTCTGACATACAGTGCTGGGTTTTTTCCTTTTTGTACAACAATGAATTCGTGTCGTGTTTTATAGCTTCTATCATTAACCATACCATAATCTCATTTTAAAATTGATGTTAAAAATCCCTACATTTCTATAGGTAAATTAGTTTTTTTTAAAAGCTATAATCTGTATTTTAAATCTTTTTGCAATTTTTGAAACAGCTACTTTCATCCCTAGAAATTCTACCATATTGAAAATGTGTGGAGTATATTTTCTATAGTAAGTAATATGAAGAAAACATGATTAGTTGTGCCAAAGAAGTTTTCTATATTGTTTACATGAAGAGGCCACAGTACTTATTGGGGATTTCCTAGGGTATTTTTGTTTATTAATAAAACATTACACTCAGGCTTAGTAGATTTGACATAATAGGAAGAATGTTCCTCTTAAAACTATTTTATTGAGAAGAGGCAAGAAAAGCTGAACTTACTACATCCATTCTTTGTATTAGAAATGTAGGTGGGGTAGTTCTCTGTAATATTTAGAGCTTAGTGTCATAATTTGGAATTTAAGATAATAAATAGTAACAAGGCCAGTCTTATATGTAAGACAGTATAAACAATGCCATTTCAGGGACAAAGAAGGCCTAGAAGCCCTTAAAATAAGTTATCTTAGATGTGTCAGAATACACTTAGAGCTTTATTACTTTAGCTTAAGGCTTTAATACTTGTAGAAATGCAAATATTCTTGAGAAATGGTACCTTTATTCTCAATTCTGTATACCTTATTGCGAGTGAGGTATCCAAAGCAGTTTTTAGTCAGCACTGAGGATAGAAGGAAGGTATAAAATGAGGACAGTGGAAACTTTAGAAGGAGTGAGGAAATGGATAAGGAGAGGAACTTTGAAAATCTTAGGCTGGTTTAAGCACTATTGCTTGCTTTCCTAAGAACCATCAGAATGTTTAAATGCTTTATCTTTCATGGTCCACTCTCAACTAACATTTATTATCCTTTAGTAATAAAAAAATTAATTTTTTCCCATACATTTTTATAATGTAGAAGGAAATTCAAGATTCCATAAATGATAAAAATTTCAGATTTGTCTGATGTATACAGTAATTTGTGTATCTTAACATGCTGCTAAATGCAGATTTAAACATAACATCTGAGGATCATGACTTTTCCTCCTTTCTTGGAGCTCTTGGTATAAAATTTATCTGCTGTTATGAAATAAGGTTTCTACACAGTTCATTTCACACTAAAGATAGTTTGTTATTGTTTGCATGAGGAAATAACATATGTCTCAGTCTTTAATTTTAGGTGGTAGTGTTATAGTTTACACCCCCCCCAGAAATGAATTACATGCCAATATTTCCATGTGTATTTTGTTGCCTTGATGTACTATATACTTGTTGCATGTATATTAAACATTTTGTACCATGCATTAGTGGTCTTATTTTTTCCTTGTCAAAAAGTTACCCGATTAAAGTTGTACACTGATCTTTTGTTTCAATAAATGTGGTATTCTAATATGAAAAATATTAGCATTTTAGAATATTACAATTATAAAATTCTAATATGAAGATGGAATTGGAGAAATTCTTATTTCAACTCCTATCAAATTAAACACTATTTTTAGATAGTAACATGATATACTTTAGAATACAAAACATCTACTGAAGTGGTGGTACAGGTTAGTAGTGGTTCTGTGGCAGTGTTACTGATTTAATTATATAATAGTCATGTTCATTTTCTCACCTGTAAAACAGAATCATCACCATCTTCTTTGCCTATGTGATTGCACCCAGATGATGTCAGCATTAAATGAAATCATGTATACAAGTTCTAAAGAGATAAATGCCAATTACAAGCTGCTACTAATTATGATTGGCAGAAACCTTACAAAAGTAAACGAAATCAGTTATTTAAGTCATTTTTATTAGCTTTATGTACAAGTTTTCAAGTGGTTATAAATGTGTCTCAAATTTACAACTATGAAAATCCTTTGTTAAGTTCCTACCATTAAGTAAAATGTCCAGATTTTGCTAAACTAACATTGGATTACCTCTGACCTGTCAAAAGACTGCTTTAAACCTCAGGGTTCTTAAAATATTTTAAATCAGTTCACTTTGCTCTTCTGTAAGCAAAGCAGCTTCTATTTAGCATTAGCATTTGTTCTTTTTAACTGATAGGAAGGGGAAGATAAAATTTTATTTTTGTCATTATGGCACATTTTAAAAGTATACTTTAGTATAAACTAAAACTTTTAGATTGTCTTCCTATTGTCTTCTTCTTCCTTTGGCACACAAGAACTCTGACCGTATTTCTAATCTGATCTCCTACCACATTGCCATGTATATATACTTTGCTCAATCCACGTGGACTAAATTCTGTTGCCTTATTGAGACTCCTGGCATGTTTAATTGGATTGCTGGTCAGTCCAAGTCTTAGATTTCCCAACCATTCCTTCTCTGCCCCCAGGGCTGAGTAAAGGGCCTCAGATTTCCCATAATGCCCTTGGCATACTTCTGTCAATCACATCTCTGAAACCTATGGCCGATGACAATATCTGAAATGTCTTCGTAGCTCCAGTGCTTTTTATACTGCCTACCATATAAAAGGTTTGAATAAACTTTGATTAAAAAATGAAAGCAAGACAAAGGGAGGGAAGAATTTAAAGGCATATGTGGTTAAAGAAGCATAAATAGTTTTCATAAAAAAAAAAATTATTTTAACTCCATACCTACTTTTTAAAAAAGTCAGGTATGTATTATATTAGAGGTCACAACATCTAATACTTTTATATGCAAAACAGTTGTTCTTAAAATTTTTACACTTAATTAAATGTGAATGTTAGAAAATTTAACATTACTTTAATATTAATAGAAATAAAAACTTTTAGAAACATCACATTACCACGAACACTGTTAAAGACTCTATTGGCAAATACGGCAATTCCTGCAACGTATGTACTGAAAAGACTAGGAAGCCCATATGGCTGAAAGTTTAGTTTGTCTACTGATCTGAAGTGAAATTTGGGTATATTC